ACATAATAATAATAATAATAATAAAGTTCATTTAAAAAACACGCTTCATCCCCAAAGGCTCGAAGCGCGGTACAAAGTCAACAAAAAACATATCTATAATTCACCACATTTAAAACAAACACAACACTACAAAAACTAATTACAAGCATGCTGTTATGTAGTACACTTTTCCCCGTGCTTGAACTTTGTTTCACCCCAAATTAGATTCCTAGCAGACGGTAGCGTTTGTTGTAGCCGTGGCTTAGTCTTTGATGTATCGTGTTTACTACCGGTTACCAATTATACACTAGTATGTCTTCTAGTATGTGCTGGAATGATCGCGATTTGTTCTAGAAAAGTAAACAAATGCTGAGTAGTTTCAGGAAGGCAGGGCTTACGCTGCATATATAAAGGGATTGACAGACACGGAGTCAGAGAGAGACGGAGATTCAGATAGATATTATTAACTTTACAAGACAATTGTATTATTCTTTGTGTGCTTATATGTGTTTATTCGCATTGATCATTCATCATTATGAATTGGCACATTGTACTAACAACTGTGTACCGGTATAAGATTTTCACATACTCTGTTATTTGATGATTTTTAATTATATTTCTTTTGTTTTGTAATTGTATTATTACTAAATTAAATCTTACTATTTGTAATTGGCAACTGTTTTTTGCGTGTCGTAACTTTATTATTTCATTTCACTAAGGTATCGTCCTTTGCTGTGTACTGTGTGAACGAGCCATAACTTAAAGCAAGAGATTATTTTCTCACAATAGAAGCCAGTGCGTAACACATGCCCATTAACAAAAATATAAAGTTAATAGGAAAGTAAAAATTTGTGATTTTTGTGTGTGTTCATCTAACGATGCTGAATCTAAATTTATTTTAATGTTTCAAATAATATTGTAGTAGTAAATGACAAGTTTGTAAAATCTAACCCCCGGGGGGTGGGGGTGGGGGGTTTGAAGGGGGGCGTGCGAACAGTAGTTTTTTTTTAAAATATTTATTTTTAAACGAAACATTTATTTTATGCGACTTTCTGCGACAAATATTTTTTTTTATATTTAAAATATGCGTTAGAATAGGTCAGCATTTCCTTCAGGCTTTGCCATAAGTACTTCTGTGAGGACTGGGCGTTCATTCACTAAACACGGAAGATCACTTCGTGACGCGCTATCGGAATGGGACAAAAAGTTTCGAGGGGTAAATGTGGTTGGGAATGCATGATAGCATGCCTAGCAGTCATTGATGGTTCTCTCTCTCTGACGGAGCCCAGGTCGATCACACCTTGTCCATATACAAATATATATATTGTCATAAAGTTTGAACCGTAAGTTCCCCCCCCCCACCCAATCTTTTCCCCTTATGATGACGACTAATTTATAATGAAAAGGGTTTTCTTTTATAGCAAGTTCATAAAAAAAAAAAAAAATGTGTAGTTTTAAATCGTTTCAAAACTTGATGGCGGCATTCTAGGAATATTTTAATCTATTTGGTACACCATTGGAACAATTTCAAATTTTAAAAAAATTAACTATAATTTAATTTTACCACATTTATTGTAAATCATAATGTATTTTGATGCTTAATTTTCTTATGATACATTACATAATTTTCCGTTTAATATTTCCTTGTTACATAAAATAAGCAGAATAAAACAGCAGATATTTCTGCAAGCTCCACAAAACTTCTGATTAATGGAAAACTAACATGAGCTCACCATTCATACAACCACCTCCACTCACTAACCCACATATTCTGGTGAAGATCTCAGATGACTCTCTTATGACCCCGGCTAGTGCATCTGCTGAGCTGAGCCAAATAACATTTTCCTCACCAAGGCCTCCCCAACCACCCTGGCTACCCAACCACCCTGGCTACCCAATCACCCTGGCTCCCCAACCACCCTGGCTCCCAACCACCCTGGCTCCCCAACCACCCTGGCTCCCCAACCACCCTGGCTCCCTAACCACCCTGGCTTCCCTTGGAACATCCAGTGAAGGACATTCGGTCAACAGATGCGCTAGTGTTTCTGGGATCGATCTCCACTAAATTACTGCTCGTGCTGAGCACATTAACGCTATCTACAATGTCTCTGAACTTTAATCGATTAAAGTTGTGTTCATGTAAGGTGGTCGGGTTTATCTGCCTAATGTTACGATTATTGATTTAAAATAATTAAAAAAAAATAAAACATAAATATTTCAGTTAATCCTAAAGAAACTCTGGCAAGAATCACTAATTTTTTAAAAAAATATTTCCTTTGAATATTCTACAGAATCACGAGTAAAACTAGAGGCATAACTGTCAATGTCTTTCTTCTTCTTCTTCTTATTATTATTATTAATACAGTGGTCTTATATAGCCCGGTTAACAAAAATAGGGCTAGGCTCACCGCGCTTCACATTAACAAATATTAACAAACATAATCATGACATTAAAAATAATCACATACATTTATTTAATTAAAAAAAAAACAGCTATATAACAACAAAAAATATACATATATATTCACCCCATCTTACATCTGGCAAGACAGTTTATTACACAAGACATCGTTCAGTTTTGTAAGCTCGGCCTCGCTGCATGTCTGCGTGGAGAGCAGTGCGTCGTGAGAGGCTGACAAAATTCTGCAAATTACGACTGGGGTTAACTCTTGCACCCGTCTCTCCTGATCCAATATCATCTGCTTGCAGTCATTCGATAAGGTTAGTATTGTCCGATGGATCTCGTCTTTCTGATGAAGCTCACACACAATGGGTTCAAGTGTGTCGTAGTCATCTTGTGTGCAGCTACCCCAAGCCACCAGCGTGGGACCCGCTGATTTCACTTTCAGGCAAAGATCGTCCAGAGTTATGTTTCTTTGAATTTCGTACCAGAAGACATCGCAGAAACTTTTTGAAAGATTTGTTCGTATCGCTTCAACGGCCTTGTCCATCACGTTTCCATGGGCGATGCTTCCGTTTACAGTAGCGCTATTCTTATTGCACACGATTTGATGCAGCTTCTCAATGTCCCCGGGTGCGCAAATCAAATTAGCGAGGAGCTCACCTTTCAAAGAGGCCAATTTGGAACATCCTGTTGGATTCTTTAGATCATTGGACACGACACTTATGTTAGATTTACATCTCGATGTAAGACTCTGAACGACCCCATCAACTGGATCGATGGATGTGCCAATGGGCGTGCATGGCACGTCCTTGTCTTCACAGATGACTTCATAAAGTTTATTATAGTCATCGACGGTACAGTTAAACTGGGCCAGGAGAGGCTCAAACATTTTTAGAGTGTTGCAACCTTCCACTCTGTCTGATTTACCCTCGGCCTGGCCCCGTATGGTGGCCTTGCAGGTTTTAGAAGATAACTGAGTATCTATAACACACAGGAGCTTCTCTCTGTGGGCGTCTGCATCTTTGTCAGGAGCGGACGTCGTAATTGGTTCGGCCGATATATCATGTAAGCAAACAGCAGTTTTTATGACTTCGATATCTGCTTCTGAACAATGTTCTTTCAAAGTTTCTTTCTGTGTTTCGATCATGCCACAGGCCACGTCAAGGCTAGGCAATGCATCCACCACCGTCGATGCAAAATGTTTACAGTCTTCAGACTTAACATTGTTGTTGATATAGTCCAAGGCTTTCTGTTTCTGGACCAGTATTTCCTCTTCAGGTGATAATGTCGTTGTTTCTTCAACACTACAAACAGCTGTTTTTATAACTATGATATCTGCATCAGAACATTTGAATTTTAAAATTTCTTTCTGTGTTTCCATTATTGCACACGCGGTCTCAAGGCTAGACAAAGCGGTCATCGCCACCGAAACAAACACTTGACAATCTACAGACTTGACATTGGTGTTGATATAATCCAAGGCTTTCTGTTTCTGGTCAACAATTTTGGGATGTATGGTAGTGGTCGTTGTTGTCAATGTCTGAGGCCGCGAAGTGGAAAATGAAGTAACAGTGTTTCGTGTGATGTCTAGTGCAGAATTATTCAAAGTTGCATTTAAACCAAGCGGAATATATTTCATTTTTGTTTCTGCAGTAGATGTTGAACTCTGATTGAGAACAGCAGATGTTGAATTTAGCGTAGGGATATAAGTTGGCGTAGTAATAAATGAAGAGGCTATATCACTGACACATACAGCCGTCTTTATTACTTCGAACTCTGTTTCTGAACATTTGGAAATCAAAAATTCTTTCTGCGTTTCAGTTAAGGCACATGCAGCTTCAAGGCTAGACAATGCTGTTGCCGCCATAATTGCTAACTGTTTACACTCTTCAGACTTAACATTATGGTTGATATAGTCCAAGGCTTTCTGTTTCTGAACCAGTATTTCCTCTTCAGGTGATAATGTCGTTGTTTCTTCAACACTACAGACAGCAGTTTTTATGACTATGATATCTGCATCAGAACATTTGAATTTTAAAATTTCTTTCTGTGTTTCCATTATTGCACACGCGGTCTCAAGGCTAGACAAAGCGGTCATCGCCACCGAAACAAACACTTGACAATCTACAGACTTGACATTCGTGTTGATATAATCCAAGTCTTTCTGTTTCTGGTCAACAATTTTTGGATATGTGGTAGTAGTCGGGGTTGTCAATGTCTGGGGCTGTGAGTTGGAACCTTGAGTAACAGTGGTTGGTGTGACGTCTTGTGTAGAATTTTTAGCAGACATTTAAAACTATCGCATTGTGTTTTCCATTGGAATTTGAACAGTAGTTATTGATTTTTGATAAAGAACAGCACTTGATGAATTTAGGGTAGGTACATAAATTGGCGTAGTGCTCAGTTTAGAAACTACATGAGCGACGCATACAGCATTCTTTATTACTTCGAATTCTGTTTCCGAACATATGGAAATCAAAAGTTCTTTCTGTGTTTCCGTTAAGGCACGGGCGACTTCAAGGCTAGACAATGCTGTCGTCGCCGCCGAGGCCAACTGTTTACAGTCTTCAGACTTAACATTATGGTTGATATAGTCCAAGGCTTTCTGTTTCTGAACCAGTATTTCCTCTTCAGGTGATAATGTCGTTGTTTCTTCAACACTACAAACAGCTGTTTTTATGACTATGATATCTGCATCAGAACATTTGAATTTTAAAATTTCTTTCTGTGTTTCCATTATTGCACACGCGGTCTCAAGGCTAGACAAAGCGGTCATCGCCACCGAAACAAACACTTGACACTCTACAGACTTGACATTCGTGTTGATATAGTCCAAGGCTTTCTGTTTGTGGTCAACAATTTTGGGATGTATGGTAGTGGTCGTTGTTGTCAATGTCTGAGGCTGTGAGTTGGAACCTTGAGTAACAGTGGTTGGTGTGACGTCTTGTGTAGAATTTTTAGCAGACTCATTTAAAACTATCGCATTGTGTTCCATTGTAGTTTGAACAGTAGTTATTGATTTTTGATAAAGAACAGCAGATGATGAATTTAGGGTAGGTACATAAATTGGCGTAGTGCTAAGTTTAGAAACTACATGAGTGACGCATACAGCATTCTTTATTAGTTCAAACTCTGTTTCCGAACATTTGGAAATCAAAAGTTCTTTCTGTGGTTCGATCATATTGCATGTAACTTAAAGGCTAGGCAATGCATCCACAACTGTCAATGCAAAATTTGTACAGTCTTCAGACTTAACATTATGGTTGATATAGTCCAAGGCTTTCTGTTTCTGAACCAGTATTTCCTCTTCAGGTGATATTGTCGTTGTTTCTTCAACACCACAGACAGCATTTTTTATAACTACGATATCTGCTTCAGAACATTTGGCGTATAAAAGATCTTTCTGTGTTTCTGTTAAGGCACATGCAGTTTCAAGGCTAGACACTGCGTCGACTGCTACAGTAGCCAAATGTTTACACTCTTCTGACTTGACATGCTGGGTTATATAGTCTAGTGCCTTCAGTTTCTGATCGAGAAATGCAGAATCATGGGTTGTTGGTGCTGTCTTGGTTGGTTCAGAGTCTTGTGGTGCTGTCTTGGTTGGTTCAGAGTCTTGTGGTGCTGTCTTGGTTGGTTCAGAGTCTTGTGGTGCTGTCTTGGTTGGTTCAGAGTCTTGTGGTGCTGTCTTGGTTGGTTCAGAGTCTTGTGGTGCTGTCTTGGTTGGTTCAGAGTCTTGTGGTGCTGTCTTGGTTGGTTCAGAGTCTTGTTCATAGTTATTGGTGGTGGCGTTCAAAAGACCCAGAGAATGTTGTATCGGTGCTTCATTAGTAGATGTTGAATTTCGACTAAGAACGGTAAATGTTGAATTCTGAGTAATAATAGTAGATGTTGAAATTTGAGTAAGAACGGTTGATGTTGAATTTTCAGTAAAAACAGATGATATTTGAATAAGAAATGAAGATGTTGAATTTTGAGTTATTGAATTTGGTGAAAAAACCGTCGTTTTTGAATTCTGAGTGAGAAAATTAGATGCTAAATTCTTAGTAAGAATACTATACAGTAGATTCTGAGTAAAAATATTAGATACTTCATTATGAGTAGGAACAGGAGATGATGAATTCTGAGTATGGATGGTAAAAGTCCTACATATTATTGCCTCCAGCTGGTCCAATCCTTCTTTTGAACAACCAAATGCCAAGATGAAATGTGTCTTCAAGCCCGCCAACTGCAGGCAGCGTTGATCACCTGCGTGCCGTAAGACGTTGAGTTCCAATACAGTTTTGCACTCGTCTGAGACGTTCAAGCCGTTCACCGTTTGATTGAACTCTATCTCACTGCTGGCGTCACCCGCCGCGGTACCGTACTGGGAACAGCTCAGGACAAGAACACATATTGTGGTGATTTGAAGTGATTTCAGTTTTCCTGTCATTTTTAAAGTTCGCCGAATTTTACCTGAAAAAAAAAAAGACTCTAATCATTAACTATAGGCTTCAAAGTACGTAATCGTTAACAAAAAAACAAAAACAAAATCTTGTTAGTAGAGGACAAACAAGTAGTGTCAAGTCACGGAAAATAATTTGTAACATACAAAAAAGGCAAATTCACGATTTTTATGGTGCTTAAGAAATGCTAATAATTTTAAAACTCGAAATCAAATTGAGAGTTTATCATATATAAAATAAGCCAGCAAGAAACGATCATATATCCATGTTTTGAATCTGATGTGCTACAATTTGATATGATTTTATAGGCAGCTGCTCCGAATTAAAGTTTAAACGTGTCCTGGGGTTTTTAAAATTCAAATAAATGTTACCAATGTCTCAAAAGAAGTTACTTCTTTTTGGATGTAGTATCAATATCTAATCTAAATTGAAAACTTAATATTTCAAAAGATGATTTCAAAAGATGATTTCCAAAGATGATTACAAAAGAGGATTTAAAAGATGAATGCACAAGATGATTAAAAAAAATGATTTCAAAAGATGATTTCAAAAGATGATTTCAAAAGATGATTCAAATAATGATTACAAAAGATGATTTCAAAAGATGATTTATTTCAAAAGTGACAATGATGTAACGATTCGTGGTTTCCAATTTTAAAAAAAAATCATTAGGCTTGGTTAGCTACAATGGCATGGAATCCAATAAAACATGCAACATTGAAGAATTATTTGATATGATTTAAATAGTGCAACTATTGGTGAAGCGCAAAGGGTAATAATTTTAAAGATGAGCGCAGCCTTGCAGCAGCAAACCCACTTAATAAATTAAACTAGCGTGAATAATGCAGTTTTCTACACGGGATTTCCCTTTCATGACACGCATCATCATCATAATCATCATTTTCGTTATCATCATTATAATCATCATTATCGTCATCATCACCATCATCATCATTATCGTCATCATCATTATCATCAGTGGCACTGTAGTCCATAGAGGGATTTGACCTGCTTCAATACATTTTTTTTTTCCTTTCAGTCCAAACCATGGCTTTTTGTCCCTTATTATGATACCGTCAAATTCTTCATCAAAACCATTTCAACAACTTCTATCCAATATATCCTAAGAAAGATATCACGAAGGCATTTAAAGGAGGACATATGTTTTAAGTGATTTAAAACAGTGAGGATTGCCAGACATGACGCAAACTATCATTGTAGACCACTCGGGGTAATTGGTTTTTTTTAAAATACAAAAATATTAAATGTTGTTTTACTTTTCCCTTCCTTAAAACAAAAAAATCTTTAAAACTATGGGCCACGTGATCCTTATAACCTCCTTGTGAGTTTGGGGAGGGGGGTGGCTCAGACACTAAATGTTAAATAAATTCAAATGGTAATGCTAGCTGCACAGATCGTAGTCTTTTGCTGTAGATCTGCCAACCAACACCAACAAATCCTAAATAAAAAATTAAAATGTTGGATCATTCTTACCTTGAACGAACTGCTAAGGAAATAATTGTCCTCAAAGCTGTTTACCTAAATATTTCTTGTAACAGAGTTGTGTTGCTTCGGTCGTTAGACGTACACACATCTGTCAGGCTCATGTCTTATTTAAATTGTGTACACATTTTCAAGAAATTGAACTTTTTTTTTTTTTTTTTTTTTTTTTTCCCCTTGCGAATTTTTGGAAAATCTTCACGTTTTCTTAATTTTTTTTTTTATTTTTTTTTTTTTTTTTAAGAATTTGTTTTTTTTTTTTTTTTTTTTTTTTTTTTTTGCCCCTTGCGAATTTCTGGAAAATCTTCACGTTATCTTAACACTTAACTGGCAATTGAAGAAGTCCTCCGGGCGGAAATTATCTTCTTTGTTTTGGTGTGAAGTTCGTACACCAGCTGTTTGTTGTTTCTTTGATGACTATTTCATTTCATAAAGATTCCGTATCAACGCTCTAACTGTTAACATTGAGCCTTTAGAAACCCATTCAACATGTGTTTCAATGACTCTTCAAGAATGAAAGATCATCATCTTTGGATTAGTTATATAATGTTGATTATTTTTTTTTAGTTCCTTTATTTTGAGCGTTGTTTCGTGGAGTTGGAAACAAAATATAAGACGTGTCAATACAAAGTAATAATTTTTTAAAAATTAGAAATGGAGATTAGACCGGGGATTGGCTGCCTACAGCACGCGTGCCAGACTGGGGCACCTCCTGGAGCGGTTCTCACTGGCACGTGAAACGAAATAATATTAATGACTAAAACAAATATATTTTTGAGGCGCCTTGAGAAGACTTTGTCACACCGAGTGAATTAAATTCCTATTTGGGTCGAGTGTCATCAAAAGTTTTTCGACCCCTGATTTAGTCATTTGAAACGGGATGAGAATAAAATAAGACGTGACTTGCATGCCGTTATGACAGACGAATAAAAAATATGTCTTGTTTTGATCGTTCTACTTTAAAAAAAAAATAAAGCCAACATTTTTAAGTTGAAGTGTTTCTCTCAAAATACATGTCATCACAATGAGAAAATAATAATAACAAATGCACTATGGCAGAACTACCTTCACGGAAAAAAGTCGCATGAGTTAAAAGGGGGCCTAACTCTGATGCAACTATCAAACTTAACTGGCTAGAAAGTTATGTCTCTTTGAAAGCTAGGCGTCACAATGACACACAATAAATAAATATAGACTTCCATTATTTTAGAGGAAATTTTGTTTCTACTTAGCTGAACCAAAAATTATTTTTGAGAAAAGGTGGAACTTTCAATCTTGGGCAGTGCCTTGTGGTTTTCTGTGGTCATGTCCAGTTCCGTGGTTTTAGTAGGCGTGTCAGAAGGGTCAACTTTTCAGTTGGGGGAGGGGGCGGTGGAGTGTGAATAAAGCTGTGTGCGTGTGTGTGTTTAGCGGGCGTGGCTACATCCACAGGTCCTCGGCGAGTATGCTTTTCTTTCTCATGTCTAATTTGCAGATTAAAATAAATATTTTCAGAAATTTCTAAGAGCTGTTTGTTCTTCAACTTACAATCAGTAAATTTAATAATCCTACATTCGCCTTAAAATTATTTTTTTTTTTTTTTAAATCAACAAAGATAACACGAAAAACAACTACACATTCCTCTTGCCATCCTCTCACCTCCTTATGTTCTCTCAAATTCCTCTTGCTGTCCTCTCGGATACTACACTGCAGGTAAGAGTTTATTTGTATATATTGTTTTTAATATTGTTTGTTCGCTGAAAAAGGCATCTTGCCGATATTTTCGTTGTTTGGCTCCATCTTTTTTCCCCTCCTCAGGTTTTCCCCCTGATCTGTATCGCTTGTTGCCATACACATCAATATAATAATAATAATAATAATAATAATCAATTATTAGATTAAACGTGGTGATCCCATGAAAACCCGAAGCTTTGGGAAAGATATTATTTAATGTGTTATAAAAACAACGACATTTTGTTTAAAATTTCATAAATTTCATCTTAAATTGGCTGGAAAGACATTCAGTTTGGAAAGAAGAAATGCATCTTTATGAAATGATATCTAGCTTCTAAGAAATGGGAAGCAGGTCACAGTGACAAAGAGTGGGAGACGTAGATTTGTTTTAAAATATTGACATTTAGAAATGAAGGTCAAGGTATCTGTTGGAAAACTATAAATTACCTCAACAAGAAATATTTTGTATCCTTTATTTTTTTAATTAAAAGTTTAATTGTTATCGTTTGGAATTTACAGTACAGTTAATTAAAACTTCAACCAAAAAAAAAAAGAAAAAAAGAAAGAAAAAAAAAGGTAAGTTATTTTCATTTCAACCATTAAGGTCTGTGCTTGATTGTGTGAACACGGGATAACTTTTCCTTCGCAGACGACCTTGTGTAGGAGGTCGTAGTCGTCGGTGCTGCATTCAAAGTCAGCGAATAGGTCCTCACTCGCTTCCAAAGCCTTGCAGCCTTGCTCAACGCTGTTGATCTTGGGGACGGCGGACAGGACGGCACTCTTGCAAGCCGCCGAGGACATCTGGGTAGATGCGATGCAGGTCACGTGTGCTTTTGCGGCGGCCAGGTCCTCTGACGTCACCACAGCCCCCACGAGGAAGGCGAGAGCAATCAGCTTGCACATTGTACAATTCAGATCTGGTGGAGAGATGACACGCAAGTAAATAAAACTGAACAGCCTCAAAACATAAAGCTGATTTTTTTATTTAAATAAAAAAGTTGAAATGCTGTTTTTTTTTTCAAATGAATGAAACAAAACTCATAGGAACAATAGATTATATTCTAAAACACGTGAAAATTGTCATCAAATTGAGTCCCTTATATGTAAGTGTATGTCGGTGTATGTCAGTGCAGGACCGATGAATGATCTGAGTTAGCATCAAGAAAATCTCTTTTCGACACACACTCCGGTGGAAAGCATTTGTGTTTGTCGTTTTAACTCCAAACCGTTCTAAACTGATTGAGAATGGCGTAGCAGTCTATCATCAAGATGAGAGAATAACCTTTAAAAAAATATATATATATATTAATGTTATTGTTTGGATTGCATTTCTACTTTCTTCATGCTCTGGGTTATTTTTAAATAATATTATTATGAGTCCAATGCTCATAGATTTTTTTTTTTTTTTATAAATTTTTTTTTTTTTTTTTTTTTTTTTGGTCGTTGTTTTTGTATTTCTTTTTGGGTTGTTGTTTTTTTCTTTACCCAATGGCTCCATAGAGCTCGAAGGCAACAGAAGTGCAACGGCAGCATGAGGATGACAAGAAGAACGATTATGTACGTTCTACAAATTTAGATCTGGTGAAGAAGAAAAAAATCCTGTCAAGCATGATTGGCTCCCTTAAAAAATAAATAAATAAATAACAATAGTCATAATAATAAACTGAACACAGAAATATACCGCTAGTAAATTCATGGGTAATATTTTGTTTTATTGATTTAGCTAACGTTAACAAAATATGAAGTGGCGTCTTAATTGTGAGCGGTGGAAGCGTCTCACTGGAAGAAGATATGTACGGTTGTTTATTTTTCATTAAAATCCACTTTTTAAACACATTAGTTTTCAAGTGACCTCTTCAGATTCATACGGATGGATTATTTTGTTTGAAGTGTATTGTTTAAGAAAGTATGCTAAAAAATTGCCTAATCATACAATTTTTTTTAAAATCCATCTGCACTTTAATCTGGCCACTGTGATACAAATAATATTGGCCAGACTGTCCTTTAGCACCGTAAACAGCTTGGATATTGTCTATGCGCGATGAAGATTTGGGAAGCCTAGGGGTAGACAACTCACCGGTCGCCCAAGGATGAGATGGATCGATGAAGTGGAGACGGAACTACGCCAGTTGGGGGTTCGCGCATGGAGGCGGAAAGCAATGGATCGCTCTGAATGGAAGGATGTGGTGGAGCAGGTCAGGGCCCTACATGGGCTGTAGCGCCACTGATGATGATGATGAAGATTCGGCGCTAATACCAGTTTAAAATCTAGACTCGGGCTGTGAATCTATTGTTTACACGCCTATGGTCAAAAAGGACCGAGGAAGTCTTTAAAGAAAATATAATAATCAAATTATTTTTTTGTATGTGTCAGCATTCATCATTTCAACTGACGGAAGCGGTAGAGACTGCGTTCGTGAATGAAGGTCTAGAAACGTCTGCTAGATTTTAAATCCATGTCGAATTGGATATCTAACCCTACTGTCGTGAATAGCTCATTACCAACACTTGATGACCAGGTGTGGATACATTAGGTCCGCCGCCGAGGCTGTATCGACAGATAGCTACCAGGCGTATAGTAGATTTCACAGATTATTAAGGTTTATATTAGATTTCACAGATTATTAAAGGTTTATATTAGATTTCACAGATTATTAAAGGTTTTTATTAGACTTCACATATTATTAAAGGTTTATATTAGACTTCACAGATTATTAAAGGTTATAGTAGATTTCACAGATTATTAAAGGTTTATAATATATTCCACAGATTATAACAGGTTTATAATAGGTTCTAGCATAATAACTAGCCGTTTATAGTTGCAACGTGATATCTTATGATATATTTCACAGATTATAGCAGGCCTAAATTTATAGAAGAACCGAAATATAACAGGCACACACGGGGCAGTTCAATGATTTGACAAATAACTTACCTGAAGTCACTATTACAGAGGTATTGTCATAGTCACTCCTGCTCGGATAAAGTCAGTGTCTGGACTACAGTGATGATGTCTTCACTAATACGTAGTTCAAATGTCCCATCTCATTGCGAGGGTACCACTGGGTAATTGAATGGATATGAAGTTAATTGTTATTTTCAGACTTCTCTAACGAGGTTTGATGGACATCTTTTAAATGTACTCAGGGACTCTAAATCTGTCGTGTAACAAGGGGCCCCTTGGGATACATCCTTTGCTACTATGCCGTGGTAAATTTAACATTTTGAATTAATCCATAAAGTAAAACCGTCTTTAGTTCTAAATAACATATTTTCCAAATGGTTAAATACCTAAAATATAATTAATAACCACCTTACGGGGCTAGGGCATCAAGTTGAGAACTGGCGTATGGTTCAAAATATAATTTTGAATATTATTATTATAATTCATTTTCAACATTACTTCTCAATAGTATTTATCTTTCCCTGGTGTTCTTGAGTTAAACTTTTTTTTTTGTTTTACGCTCCAAGAGTATGCATTACATGACGTCATACCTATCGTTTCTTGGTTTGGCCTAGATTTTCAAATCACAGAGAGACATGTATCTCCTTACGTTCGCTTTAAAGTACTTCTTTAAATAGGCAAAACACTTAACCATAAGCTTTAATCTGACAATAAATAAATACGAAGATAATCGAAATAAATTTGAAATAATCAAAGAAATAAATAAATGTGAGATAATCAAAGAAAGAAAAAAATGTGAGATAATAAAAGAAATAAATAAATGTGAGATAATCGAAGAAAGAAAGAAATGTGAGATAATCGAAGAAAGCACGAAATATGGGATAATTGAAGATATAAATAAATGTGGGATGATTGAAGAAAGAAAGAAATGTGGGATAACCAAATAAATAAATAAATGTAAGATAACCGAAGAATAAAATAAATGTAGGATAATCGAAGAAAGAAATAAATGAGAGATATTGGAAGAAATAAATAAATGTGAGATAATTGAAGAAAGAAAGAAATGTGGGATAATCGAACAAAGAAATAAATGTGAGATAATGGAAGAAAGAAAGAAATGTGAGATAATCGAAGAAAGAAAGAAATGTGGGATAATCGAAGAAATAAATAAATGTGGGATGATTGAAGAAAGAAAGAAATGTGGGATAAGCAAAGTACGAAATAAATTAGAGATAATTAAAGAAAGAAAGAAATGTGGGATAATCGAAGAAATAAATACATTTGGGATAATCAAAGAAAGAAAAAAATGTGAGATAATCGAAGAAAGCACGAAATATGGGATAATTGAAGATATAAATAAATGTGGGATGATTGAAGAAAGAAAGAAATGTGGGATTGTCAAATAAATAAATAAATGTAAGATAACCGAAGAATAAAATAAATGTAGGATAATCGAAGAAAGAAATAAATGAGAGATATTGGAAGAAATAAATAAATGTGAGATAATTGAAGAAAGAAAGAAATGTGGGATAATCGAACAAAGAAAGAAATGTGAGATAATCGAAGAAAGAAAGAAATGTGAGATAATCGAAGAAAGAAAGAAATGTGGGATAATCGAAGAAATAAATAAATGTGGGATGATTGAAGAAAGAAAGAAATGTGCGATAATCAAAGTACGAAATAAATTAGAGATAATTAAAGAAAGAAAGAAATGTAGGATAATCGAAGAAATAAATCAATTTCTGATATTCAAAGAAAGAAAGAAATGTGGGATAATCGAAGAAATAAAGAAATGTGGGATAATCAAAGATAGAAAAAAATGTGGGAAAATGGAATAAATAAATAAATGTGAGATAATCGAAGAAATAAATAAATGTAAGATAATCGAAGAAATAAAGAAATATGGGATAACTGAAACAAGAAATGTGTAAAACATCAGTAAAGAGAGTAAATATTTTGAGAGTTCTCCATTTTTTGTTCTTTTTTTTTTCTAATCCTATTGTATCCCCTTTTTACTTCTGTACATATTTTATCATTGCACGTTTACTCAAATATCTCTGCCTGACGTCCTAGCTACCTAGCTTCCTACCTGCCAGGCTACCCACGTACCTACTTAACTTCCTACCTACCTATCTACCTACACACTTACTAACTTACCTACATGACTGCCTAACTAGCTAGCTACGTACCTTACTACTCGCATGGCTACTTAGGTTATCTAACTACCCATCTACCTACACACCTACTAAATTACCTACCTAACTTTATGCTTACATACTACGTAGCATTACATACACCTCTACCCATTCATCAATCTAGCAATCACTCAATCTGTTTGCTGGTAGGTTTGCATCTGTGTTAGTTTCAGTATTTGACTGCTGATTTCATAAAGCATCTTTGATGTATATTCACATTCAGTAATAATTTTTGAGTGAAGACAACCGTAATTTTTTTTTTTTAAGTGATAATAAGACAAACATCAAGACAAATGTTGACTTATCCTAGATTACAGTAAAGTTTCTTGATATAATAAAAGACGTGGTTTTATAAAGAAATTTAAAAAAAAAACGACAATTCGAATTAAGGAAACTATTTTTATTATCATTATGATCCCTGAACGTCATCACAACAATTCAGCGTTTATGTTTGGTAAAAGATATAGTACACAAAAGGGGTGGGGGAAGGGTGCGCTTTGTTTACGCAGGCGCAACGGTGGTTGCATGGTCACATGGGATGACGATGTGCTCACAGATGAGCTTGTGCAGGATGTCGTAGTCGTGGGCGTTACAGCCAATGATGCCCAGCAGTCCATGGAAGGTCTCGAGGGTGGCGCAGCCGGAGGCGGCGTCGGCGGCGGCGTTGACCTGGGCCTTGGCCGTCCTCTTGCACGAGGCGGAGGACAGCTGGCTGTCAATGACGCACATGACGTGCGCCTTCTGGGCGGCCAGGTCCTGGGCAGAGACGGCCAGGACAAGCAGGGCGAGGACGACGAGCTTCAACATGTTAAAAGACTTAGCCTGAAAATGTGAGAATTTTGATAAATTAAGAGCTTTGACTTTCAAAAAGATCGATTCTATTCTACTAGGGGGAAAGCTTGAAAAAGAATTTGGGGGAGGGGGGATGGGGGGAATCTTACTTTGTTTAAGCACCTGCTAAAAAAAAGTTTACATTTTCTATCCTTATCGTAGTCATTGGATGTAGTGTGTCATGAACGGTGTGATGTAGTGTGTCATAAGTGGTGAGATGTTGTGTGTCATAAGTGGTGAGAAGTTGTGTGTCATAAGTGGTGAGAAGTTGTGTGTCATGAACGGTGTGATGTAGTGTGTCATGAACGGTGAGATGTAGTGTGTCATGAAGAGTGAGATGTTGTGTGTCATAAGTGGTGAGATGTTGTGTGTCATGAACGGTGTGATGTAGTGTGTCATGAACGGTGAGATGTAGTGTGTCATGAACGGTGAGATGTTGTGTGTCATAAGTGGTGAGATGTTGTGTGTCATGAACGGTGTGATGTAGTGTGTCATGAACGGTGTGATGTAGTGTGCCATGAACGGTGAGATGTAGTGTGTCATGAACGGTGAGGTGTTGTGTGTCATAAGTGGTGAGATGTTGTGTGTCATAAGTGGTGAGATGCTTTGTGTCATAAGTGGTGAGATGTTGTGTGTCATAAGTGGTGAGATGTTGTGTGTCATAAGTGGTGAGATGTAGTGTGTCATGAACGGTGTGATGCTTTGTGTCATAAGTGGTGAGATGCTTTGTGTCATAAGTGGTGAGATGCTTTGTGTCATAAGTGGTGAGATGTTGTGTGTCATAAGTGGTGAGATGTTGTGTGTCATAAGTGGTGAGATGTAGTGTGTCATGAACGGTGTGATGCTTTGTGTAATAAGTGGTGAGATGCTTTGTGTCATAAGTGGTGAGATGCTTTGTGTCATAAGTGTTGAGATGTTGTGTGTCATAAGTGGTGAGATGTTGTGTGTCATAAGTGGTGAGATGTTGTGTGTCATAAGTGGTGAGATGTTGTGTGTCATGAACGGTGTGATGCTTTGTGTCATAAGTGGTGAGATGCTTTGTGTCATAAGTGGTGAGATGCTTTGTGTCATAAGTGGTGAGATGTAGTGTGTCATGAACGGTGTGATGCTTTGTGTCATAAGTGGTGAGATGTTGTGTGTCATGAACGGTGTGATGCTTTGTGTCATAAGTGGTGAGATGTTGTGTGTCATGAACGGTGTCATGCTTTGTGTCATAAGTGGTGAGATGCTTTGTGTCATGAACGGTGTGATACTTTGTGTCATAAGTGGTGAGATGCTTTGTGTCATAAGTGGTGAGATATAGTGTGTCATGAACGGTGTGATGCTTTGTGTCATATGTGGTGAGATGCTTTGTGTCATAAGTGGTGAGATGCTTTGTGTCATAAGTGGTGAGATGCTTTGTGTCATAAGTGGTGAGATGATGTGTGTCATAAGTGGTGAGATGTAGTGTGTCATGAACGGTGTGATGCTTTGTGTCTTAAGTGGTGAGATGCTTTGTGTCATAAGTGGTGAGATGTTGTGTGTCATGAACGGTGTGATGCTTTGTGTCATAAGTGGTGAGATGTTGTGTGTCATGAACGGTGAGATGCTTTGTGTCATAAGTGGTGAGATGCTTTGTGTCATAAGTGGTGAGATGCTTTGTGTCATAAGTGGTGAGATGTTGTGTGTCATGAACGGTGAGATGTTGTGTGTCATGAACGGTGAGATGCTTTGTGTCATAAGTGGTGAGATGCTTTGTGTCATAAGTGGTGAGATGCTTTGTGTCATAAGTGGTGAGATGTTGTGTGTCATGAACGGTGAGATGCTTTGTGTCATAAGTGGTGAGATGTTTTTTGTCATAAGTGGTGAGAAATTGTGTGTCATAAGTGGTGAGATGTTTTTTGTCATAAGTGGTGAGAAGTTGTGTGTCATAAGTGGTGAGATGTTGTGTGTCATAAGTGGTGAGAAGTTGTGTGTCATAAGTGGTGAGATGTTGTGTGTCATATGTGGTGAGATGCTTTGTGTCATAAGTGGTGAGATGTTGTGTGTCATAAGTGGTGAGAAGTTGTGTGTCATAAGTGGTGAGATGTTGTGTGTCATAAGTGGTGAGAAGTTGTGTGTCATAAGTGGTGAGATGTTGTGTGTCATAAGTGGTGAGAAGTTGTGTGTCATAAGTGGTGAGATGTTGTGTGTCATAAGTGGTGAGATGTTGTGTGTCATAAGTGGTGAGATGTTGTGTGTCATAAGTGGTGAGAAGTTGTGTGTCATAAGTGGTGAGATGCTTTGTGTCATAAGTGGTGAGATGTTGTGTGTCATAAGTGGTGAGATGCTTTGTGTCATAAGTGGTGAGATGTTGTGTGTCATAAGTGGTGAGATGTTGTGTGTCATAAGTGGTGAGATGTTGTGTGTCATAAGTGGTGAGATGTTGTGTGTCATAAGTGGTGAGAAGTTGTGTGTCATAAGTGGTGAGATGTTGTGTGTCATAAGTGGTGAGATGTTGTGTGTCATAAGTGGTGAGATGTTGTGTGTCATAAGTGGTGAGAAGTTGTGTGTCATAAGTGGTGAGATGCTTTGTGTCATAAGTGGTGAGATGTTGTGTGTCATAAGTGGTGAGATGCTTTGTGTCATAAGTGGTGAGATGTTGTGTGTCATAAGTGGTGAGATGTTGTGTGTCATAAGTGGTGAGATGTTGTGTGTCATAAGTGGTGAGATGTTGTGTGTCATAAGTGGTGAGAAGTTGTGTGTCATAAGTGGTGAGATGTTGTGTGTCATAAGTGGTGAGATGTTGTGTGTCATAAGTGGTCAGATGTTGTGTGTCATAAGTGGTGAGATGCTTTGTGTCATAAGTGGTGAGATGTTGTGTGTCATAAGTGGTGAGAAGTTGTGTGTCATATGTGGTGAGATGCTTTGTGTCATAAGTGGTGAGATGTTGCGTGTCATAGGTGGTGAGATGTTGCGTGTCATAGGTGGTGAGATGTTGAGTGTCACAAGTGGTGAGATGATGTGTGTCATAAGTGGTGAGATGTTGTGTGTCATAAGTGGTGAGATGTTGTGTGTCATAAGGGGTGAGATGTTGTGTGTCATAAGTGGTGAGACGTTGTGTGTCATAAGTGGTGAGATGTTGTGAGTCATAAGTGGTTATATGCTCTGTGTCATAAGCGGTGATATGTTGTGTGTCATAAGTGGTGAGATGCTCTGTGTCATAAGCGGTGATATGTTGTGTGTCATAATTTTTGAGATATCGGTACTTCTGCAATTTAAAAAAAAATAATTTAAAAGGGTTTTACTAAAAGAAGGAAAACGCATCTTATTTTCGCGATTTTTATCGCATTTTAATAAGCAATGTCGTTTTATTCATGCAATATGTCAAATAACCAGACAGACTTATGGGGTTAAGCTGCTATATAAACCAAAATGTTTAGCAAATGCATGTGCAGTTCATAATTTTAAACAAAACAAATTACTCACCTTAAGATATCTACGCCAAGACACATTAAGATTTCTATACCCAGACACATTAAGATTCTATAACCCAGACACAGTAAGATATCTATACCTAGACACATTAAGATATCTATACCCAGACCTATACACAGACACATTAAGATATTTATACCTAGACACATTAAGATATCTATACCCAGACACATTAAGATATCTTTACCCAGACACATTAAGATATCTATACCCAGACAGATTAAGATATCTATACCCAGACAGATTAAGATATCTATACCCAGACACATTAAGATTTCTATACCCAGACACATTAAGATTCTATAACCCAGACACATTAAGATATCTATACCTAGACACATTAAGATATATATACCCAGACCTATACACAGACACATTAAGATGTTTATACCCAGACACATTAAGATATCTATGCCCAGACACATTAAGATTTCTATACCCAGACCTATACCCATACACATTAAGATATCTTTACCCAGACACCTTATGAATATCTATACCCAGACAGATTAAGATATCTATACCCAGAAACATTAAGATGTCTGTGCCCAGACACAATAAGATATTTCCTCATTCAGACGTCTGTTGCTGTTATTGTATGTTATTTTTATTAATTTTTTTTTTCAATTGAATGGCAGACGTTATCTTCTTCTATATCTTAAGGGCCCACGATCAATTTATTGATCATTTTGGCTCCTATGACTTGTTACGGTTCATAGCGGAAAAGAGCTTTTCTCAAAGTTAGGTACTCCAAAAAAGGCACATGATCCGGTTGAACAACCTGGAAACCTCAGGCAAGGTGGAGGGCAACACTCTCATAAATTGTCCATGCTTGATTGTTTTTCCATTCACCTCCTTGAAATTAGCCTTGACTTCAGAACTCCACTGAAGATCAATCAGCTCCATTTGAAGCGCAAAGGGTTATGGGGGGAGGGGGGGGGGTGTTACATTTTCCACATTGAAGGAGAAAGGGTCAGCAAAAATTTGAAAAGTTGCTATGTGTGTTTTGTTTTTGTCCGCAAAAAAAGTGATAAAATTCTTCTTGTAACTCTACTGAATGGTGTGCCCGAGTCCATGAGTACTTTTTATTATTGGCTTCTTTCTTTTTAAGTCATAAAAACAAAGAATTTGCCATTAAGTAAATACCTTAAAATTAGACGGAGATGAAATCACTTTTTTAAAAAGCATTAACACTTACCTGTAGTAGAGATTTCGAATTGACGTGGACACTTTGAATTAGAGGACAGAGGTGACTGATTCGAGGACGCAACGGACCTTTTGTAGTAAACTGACCCCCCTCATTATTGTCTGTCATAAAAATAACTCTAAAACATTTAGGTACATAATCATTGGTAGAAATTGGAGTCGTTAGATCTCTTGTGTCCGAGATGTTGTTGGCCGAGCAAAGGAACCAAACTGGTGTAATGACTTTGAAAGCAAAGAAAGAGCAGGATCAGTTGACAAAATTGTGTAATTGATTTCGGCCTTCTGTTAAAATAAAAAATAATGTTTTGTCTCATGTCCTTGAAAATAATTTGACCACAAGGTCACATAACTGACGTCATGTCTTATATTTTTCTGAATTTAGCCACAACAATTTCTGTAACGCTAAAGCGCTATCATTGTGACCTTTGGGGAAAGAAACAGCTGAAATGGACAGTCGCTGTTTTTTGTTTGGTTTTTTTTTGCTATCGTTTTAATTTCAAATTCGGTTAAAGCTTTCTATAAATCCTTTATACCAACTCTTAACACATGCAGCAGTCCCAAGGTTGTTGCCAAAGAATGGTTTTATAAAAAAAGTATTCCCGATTAAAGAAATTTCTATTTATAGTGTAAAAAAAAGACCAAAGAAATGATTTCCAAATTAGAACGAGTTTTAAAAAATAATGCACCCATCATTAAATTGATCTAGTGTATTACTTAAATATGCATATGATTTGATTCAAGGCTGGAAAAAAATGAAATATGTATATAATTCTGCTTATTACTGATTTTCCCTTCATTTCCCATCCAGGGTTGTCACCAACATGGGTTTGACTGAAATGAGCTGGTCATTTATTGACATGGAGCCTTTCAAATGTTTAAACGTCACACGAAGTGAAGAAAAAAAAGAAATGTGCACTTCTGGAGAGGAATGTCTCCAAACGTTACGGTTAAGGATCTTTTGAGTAGACTCAAACCAAGGTCAGAAATAAAGATTGCACATGTTTTTGGCTATAGAGATGAGTTCATAAATGTTGTGGTCATAGGAGTAAAATTACATTTTTTTTTTGCCAGATTAGATCGTCTTTGTCACAGTCAGATGATATATCACAGTCAAACTACGTACTGTAGCACTACAGTGTCTTGATTTCTTATTATATGAGTCTTTGCTGATGTTTGTTTTGACCACACACAAAAAAAAAAAAAAACCCTCGCCTGATGACTTTCCATGGTGATGGCAGCAAATCTAAACTACGTACTGTAGCACTACAGTGTCTTGATTTCTTATTATATGAGTCTTTGCTGATGTTTGTTTTAACCAAAAAAAAAAAAAAAAAAAAAACCCTCGCCTGATGACTTTCCATGGTGATGGCAGCAAATCTTTTAGAAAATGGGGGTTTTGCAAAATATTTCTTGTCACCGCCATAGAAGACACTTAACTAGGAGCGGAAATACAACGCAAAGCGGAAATCAGAAAAGACCAATCGTAAGTTTTATTTGTTCACAGAAATGTAATTACATTTAGATATTGTGAAGTTATTCTAAGTTTTTCAACTTCCCGTAAATTCAATGTCTTTTTCTATTTATAATTGCTAATGTTTCACGCTCGGGGGGGGGGGGGGGGGGGGGGGGGTCGTCTCGGTGATTTATTAGCGTAGTGATATACTTATCATAAGCAAGTGTTCCACGTGTCTTGAATATAACTTGTTATAGTACTTTTTTATCGTGTTTTTCTATTCTTTTTGTTGTTGTTCTTTTCGTTTTCTGATATTTGGTGTTCAGTCTGATTTGTCACCATATCAATGCATAAATCAATACTTAGAGTCTTAAATCAAATACAATATCCGACCGTCGCATCGATCATTGAAAAGGGTTATCGATGAATCACAGTTTACAATCCATTTCATGGAAAGAAGGCGTACAAAGACAATGATTGAAGATAGTTAACATTTATAGGAATTTTTCATCACATTCCCAGCCATTAAAGTTTTCGCTGTAAGGGTTTCTTTTTTTTTTTTTTTGCTGAGGGCTGAGCGCGTCCTACCGATGATAAAAATAAGACTTTATATTACTTGAGAGTTTTAAGCAGCCCACAGTCCCTCTTGCAGAGGAACCGTCTGTTTATCATGGTAGCTAAAGCGGCAGACTGCTTCAGGAAAGGTTCTCCGGGCTTCCGTTGGTGTCCAACTGGGAAAACCTCAACGAAAGCTGACCTTGCCCTTTGAGCCTTTGAGTAATGCTGGAGTTGAACTTCTAAAGAGTTTTAATTTTTATTTGTTTTATACATATCTATGTGTATTTGAGGCGCATTGCCTCAAAAAGGGGGGGGGGGGGATATCACTGCTTCAATAACGAAGCAGGAGAAAAGAGCGTCAGGGGTGTGTCCCTGTCAGGCGGGTGTAGCGGTCAGGTGTAGCAGTCAGGTGTAGCAGTCAGGTGTAGCAGTCAGGTGCGTGTCCCTGTCAGGCGGGTGTAGCAGTCAGGTGTAGCAGTCAGGAGTGTGTCCCTGTCAGGCGGGTGTAGCAGTCAGGTGTGTGTCCCTTCAGGTGGGTGTAGCAGTCAGGTGTAGCAGTCAGGTGCGTGTCTCTGTCAGGCGGGTGTAGCAGTCAGGTGGGTTAGCAGTCAGGTGGGTGTAGCAGTCAGGTGGGTGTAGCAGTCAGGTGGGTGTAGCAGTCAGGTGGGTGTTGCAGTCAGGTGGGTGTCCTGGCAGGTGTGTGTTCCGGTCAGGAGGGTGTAGCAGTCAAGTGGGTGTCGCAGTCAGGTGGGTGTCCTGTCAGGTGTGTGTCCCTGTCAGGCGGGTGTAGCAGTCAGGTGGGTGTCGCAGTCAGGTATGTGTCCTGTCAGGTGTGTGTCCCTATCAGGCGGGTGTAGCAGTCAGGTGGGTGTCGCAGTCAGGTGGGTGTCCTGTCAGGTGTGTGTAGCAGTCAGGTGGGTGTCAGGGTCAGTAGGGTGTATCAGGGAGGTGGGTATCGCATGCAGGTGGGTGTCACAGTCGGACTACGTGTCGCAGTCAGACTACGTGTCACTGTCAGACTAAGTGTCACAGTCAGATTGCGTGTCACTGTTTTACGCTTTTGATGAACACAACTTTTTAATTTCAGCTCATTCATTTTTCACTCCATCTATTTCACTTTTCACTTCAGCTAATTCGCTTTTCACTGCAGCTACTCCACTTTTAATATCAGCTAATTCACTTTTCACTGCAGCTACTCCACTTTTAAAATCAGCTAATTCATTTTTCACTTCAGCTAATTAACTTTTCACTGCAGCTACTCCACTTTTAAAATCAGCTAATTCGCTTTTCACTTCAGCTAATGCACTTTTCACTGCAGCTACTCCACTTTAAAATCAGCTAATTCACTTTTCACTAAAGCTAATTCACTTTTCACTGCAGCTACTCCACTTTTAAAATCAGCTAATTCATTTTTCACTTCAGCTAATTCACTTTTCACTGCAGCTACTCCACTTTTAGAATCAGCTAATTCACTTTTAAAATCAGCTAACTCACTTTTCACTGCAGCTAATTCACTGTTCAGTGCAGCTACTCCTCCTTTAAAATCAGGTAATTCATTTTTCACTCCAGCTAATTCACTTTTCATTGCATCTAATCCACTTTTAAAATCAGCTAATTCACTTTTCACTCCAGCTACTCCACTTTTAAAATCAGCAAATTCACTTTTAAAATCAGCTAATTCACTTTTCACTTCAGCTAATTCACTTTTCACTGCAGCTACTCCTCTTTTAAAATCAGCTAATTCATTTTTCACTCCAGCTAATTCATTTATCACTGCAGCTACCCACTTTTAAAATCAGCTAATTCATTTTTCACTTCAGCTAATTCATTTTTCACTTCAGCTAATCCACTTTTAAAATCAGCTAATTCATTTTTCACTTCCGCTAATTCACTTTTCGCTGCGGCTACTCAACTTTTAAAATCAGCTAATTCATTTTTCACTTCCGCTAATTCACTTTTCACTGCGGCTACTCCACTTTTAAAATCAGCTAATTCATTTTTCACTTCAGCTAATTCACTTTTCACTGCAACTATTTCAGAAAAAAAAAGTAAAGAAAACATTACGCAACAAACCCCACTTGTAATATTTTTTTTTTAAGAATCTCATTTAGCGCAGTTGTAGGAAGTCTTATTTCCTGATTGCATGGGGATCATATCTCCTTCATATTCCCCTTGAAAAAACAGGAAAAATTGATTTTTTTTATGATGGAGGGTGGGGCTGAAAATTCGACAGAATGTTTTGTCAGTGGCCACGAGTCTGTGTGCCATGTTTCAGCTCGATATGTTTGACGGGAAGTGGGTCATTTAGACGTCCGAAGATTATGAACTAAATACACAAAAGCAAAGTTAATCTAAATGATTTTGAAAAAAAAGAAAATGAGTCAAACAAAGTATGGGAAAATCGGAAAAAGTAACGCAACAAAACAACGAACGTGTCGACAGGAAAGCCTTCGTCAGCGAACAAACAAAAGAAAAAACCCACAGAATTAAATTAAAATAAATAGCACTAAGCTGAAAAGTGGTATCTGAGAGGAGGGGTTGGGGGGGGGCTAAAGAAGTTTGGAATTGGTTGTATAAAACAAAAACAAGTTATTCTTAAAATATCGTTTTATTTGACATGACATAATTTTCATGTTGCTGGCACGGCGCATTGTCAACATTTTAATTCGCAACTCAACAACATCTTTGTCATTGGACTCATTTATGCCGCGAGCGTACACGGAGTTTGGTCTTGCTCGCAGATGACCTTGTGCAGTGCGTTGTAGTCGGCGGTCGTACAGCCGATGATGCCCAGCAGGGGCTTGAAGGTCTCCAGCTTGGCGCAGCCGGTGGCGGGGTCGGAGCCTGCGTTGGCCTCGACGTTGGCCCTCGCGGTCCTCTTGCAGGAGTCCGAGGACAGCTGGGTGTCAATGACGCAGAGGATGTGGGCCTTCTGGGCGGCGTCCTGGGCGGCCACGACCGCGACGAGAAGTGCGAGCAGGATCAGCTTGTTCATCTTGGAATCTGATTGATCTGGAACAACAAAAAATTGGGGGCGGGAGAAAGAAATTTAAAATTTAGAATTTTGAGAAAACCATCTACCTAACTGAGGGTAACTTGTTCGCTCTGACATTGTGAGAAAACCATCTACCTAACTGAGGGTAACGTGTTCGCTCTGACATTGTGAGAAAACCATCTACCTAACTGAGGGTAACGTGTTCGCTCTGACATTGTGAGAAAACCATCTACCTAACTGAGGGTAACGTGTTCGCTCTGACATTGTGAGAAAACCATCTACCTAACTGAGGGTAACGTGTTGGCTCTGATATTATTTAAATAAAAGTCAACGCAAAAAATAGGAATATTCCCCTTAATTATTTTACTTCTTTTCTCTCCCTTTCGTAAAAAATTTATTTGCGTTCGCATATTCACCCCGAGGCCTGGAGCATAAAATTCAGAAACAAAAAGAAAATTTAACACATTCGTAAACATGATTTAAAAGAAAAAAAAACACCAACAAAATGTAATGTCAAGAGTCCCATTTACGGAGGAATGGGATACATAATAATAGTAAACTTGATATTTATAAATAGCAGTCTGGCAAAAAAAAAAAATTTTTTAATATATTGTTTGTTCGACTATTTCAACGATTTTTCCCTGACTCGCGAGAAAAGACAACAGAGCGGAACGGGAACTGTTTCTGTAGCGGGAACTTTGTGATCGATACAAAGCAGAAATACTCTGACGTCATTTTTTTATTTCCGTCAGTGTCCTCCTAATTGGCGAGTGTCTTATAAAGTGGGTGTCACGTGGTCAGTGGGTC